CAGACAGAACTGTGCAGCCACTGCATTCTGGAGAGAACAGGCCCTACTGAGTTCCAAGTGAGCAAGGAAGGTTGTGGAATCCCCATCAGTGGCGGTTTTTAAGAACAGGTTGGACAAACACCTGTCAGGGTTGGATGAGGTTTACTTTATCCTGCCTCAGCACAGGAGGCTGGACTAGATGACTTGGCAATGATACTTTTTGTGATATGAACATCTGCCTGCTGGGATCACCAAAAAGCCATCAGATGGTAACTGTGCTGTGAGGCACTTAAAGCATTAACACTGATTTAGTTGGGGATTGGTCCTGCTTTGAGCAGGGGGTTGGACTAGATGACCTCCTGAGGTCCCTTCCAACCCTGATATTCTGTGATTCTTTGGTTTTATGTAGATCTCACTTCCGCCAGATGTCGTGCTATCTGGGTCACATCCATTCCCTACTGACATGAGCTGGATTTGAACCAGCAACCCTGAGGCTTTCCATCCTAATTTCCTGAGCTATACAATCACCCATTGGGTCTAGACTCACATTTTGTGTATGATTATAATTTCATGTCTTTCTGAATGAGAAAAATACATGTAGTTTCATCCTCCATTTTGTTCATTTCCTGCCCTCCCCTTTGTAAAATCTCTGTGAGGCCTAAGTGCTCAAAGATCTGTAGTGATGTTAGACAAGGCAAAATAACACTTCAGTGTAAATTTCGTTGCTGGAGCTAAGTAGGTTGCCACAGTTGTGTAATTTCAGCAAAAAATCAAGTTATAACCCAGGCAAGACTAGTACTATAAAAATCAAAATGACCCAAACAATCTCAGGATTTAGGTAAAGGATGCCTGTTGCAAAAAAATAAAGGAATGCGCTATTGCTTATTTTAAAACCAAGGGAAATGCAAAGGCAAGGGAAATGACTGTACAATATCTGTGTGTGATCATTTGAGAGTTCCACGCTATGCTAGGATTTCTCTCTGGCATTCTAATCTGCCTCAAGTGGCTAAAGTCTGTTAGCTTTCTGCAGATGGAAACAGATCTTGACTTTGCGACGCACAGTCCATATCCTTGCGGGATGGCTCTCAAAAAAGATTAGCTTTCTTACTGAGTTCATTCTGACATTAAAATATGTCTAGCTTGTAGTGATTTAAACATTAACACAGATGGTCTTAGCCATAGTAACCCATCTGTGTCCAGTGATAAAGTTCATCTGCTCAGTTCATGTAGTGTATTGTTTTCTTCATCTGCAGATATAGAGGCTGTCACAGTTCAGGGCAACTGCACTCATATTCCCCCTCCATGGTCCAGTGAGGGCACCCACTCTATGCTCCAGGCTCCTCAGATGTCACTTTCTTGGGTAGAGACCCACATCTCCCTCCTTCCCTGACTGGGGTTTTTCCAGGATGCACAGTTCCCTGCCTCCACTGTGAATTCCTCAGCAATTCAGACTTCCTAAGCCAGCCATCTTTGCTTTATCCTGAGAGGCTGTAAACAGAATAATGGCCCTTGGGTCTAATATACCACACACACAAGCAAGCACATTTATTCTTAAGGTGAAAGCACTACACTGAAAACATAAAAACAATAAAAGAACCTACACACGTACTAACAGGCATACCAGTGATCACTCCAACTCCAATCAGGGTCTGGCAGGTGAACAATCCTTCAAACCCAACCAAGGGTTTTTTCATGTGATCACAAGTTCATAGCAGCTTTTGGCTCAGAACAAGCACGCCCATGAATCTCTGACTCACTGCTTTATATAGTTTGGGTTTTTGACCTACAGAGATTGTGACTAGATCATCAGCCAGACAGTGTTCCCCTCCTCAGGTCGAAGCTTCAAAAGGTTGGAGATGGTAATTTGCATTCACCTCTCCCCATCTCCCGGCATTTCCTAGGAATTCCACCTAACTTTGTTTGCCTGGCACATGGTTTAAAAGAGAGCTTTGAAGCTTATAACACTTCCCAAAGTTTACATTGGCCACGTCTCCCACAAGAGAAGTTCCAACCCCACAATAATACACAGATGATGGAATGCAAAGGTACTTAATTCAATAAGGTTTAATTTAATTCAGTAAGGTTTGTCCAGGATAGTGCAGAAAATTGCCATAACTGTCACATAGGATTTGTGCATATTTTTTTAAAAAAACTCTTTGGAAACAAGCTAGTTCATATGTAGACATCACCTGGAATATGGCTGTCTTCATAGGATTTTTTGGGTAGCCCCCCTGAGGTGCTCTGTAATGGAGGAGGGAGGATTTCTGGCTACGGGGAGGCATAGGAAGAAAGCTCGAGAGAGACTGACTTAAGGGCTTATAACAAAGGAAAGTATGGTGGAAACCTGCAGCAGAACACACATAGGAATAGCCAGACTGATTCAGATCAATGGTTTATGTACTCAGTACTCTTTCTCTGAGAGTGACCAGTACCAGATGCTTCAGGGAAACTACAAGGAATCCCACTGTGGACAATAATGTAATAACCTATCCATAAAGGAATGTTCTTCCTAACCCCACACAGGTAGTGGTGGGCATTTCCGGAATCATAAGGGTTTATATCCTCCCTCAAATTAAAAATGATGTGCATTTGCGCTGGAAACACTCTGATATTCTCCTAACCCCAGGTCATTTAACTCCAGGTAGGAAAAGGTTCTCTCTTAGGAGCAACCTCTTTACAATGATGCATTTTGTGGACTTAATGGCTAAACTAACATACAGTAACTGAACACCTCAGGTCCACACTCCCTGGTGTGTATGCAGGACAGAATTGCTTGTGTGACTTTGTAGAGATGCACTGGGAGCATAAGGAGACCCTTTTACTGTAGAGCCTATGAACAGGCCAGCCAAAGGCCAGGGGGTAGTTTTGGTGGTGGTGGTAACAATTGTCTCTGTCTTTCTAATAACTCCCAAGTTCCCATCTCCTCTGGGAAGCCCAGGTGGATTGCCAGATTTTTTTGTTTTACTCCTACATCCCTAAGAGGAACCCAACTGAAAATGGGTGAGAGATGATTTAACCACAAGGAAACAGCATAATTTACAGCAAGGGAGCAATATGAAAGTCACGTTCTGTGCCCTGGACAGTGTTCAGGGAAGATACTTTACAAAGGTTTGTCCATTTAAAGAGGGAAGGCTGGGGAGATACAGTAATAGTGTGGAATAGACCCCCTCCCCCACCTCTTTTGCTAATCTTTTCCCCAAGATCAGCAGAATTTACCATGACAGGCCTTACAAATGCTCCCAGTTGGGTTGTGTGCAGATGGCAAATACGGATTTCGGAATGAAGTATAATCGGTGAGAAAGGAGGAACTATGTCTTTCAGAGGAGCTGGAGGGAGACCTTGAGGTACTGAAATCAATAGGAGTAATGAAAATAGAGATTCCCAGGAAGATCTGTTCCCAAGGAGGGAGTGAGGATTGTGGCTGGGGGAGACATGAAGCCCTAGGAGCAGAGAGAGTAAATCCTCCAAATATTACAATGAAGCTCCCTAACTCTACTTTGCATAGGAATAGCTTGTTAGCTTAGAAAATATTCTGACAAAAGCAGTTGCTGTTGCTGCTCCTTGAAGCATTGATTTGATGAGTGGAAAATGGTGACTGATTTGCAGCTGGCAAGAGTGATAGGACAGGATGGGGGACCATCTGAAAATGGATTTGGTAGCCAGCACTGAAGGCTTCCATATTATATCCCAGGGGTGCAACCATGTACCATGAATCTACTGAGCCAAGTGGGGCTGTAATTCTGCAATTTTGTTTTCGTGCACAAAGTGGTAAACTAATTTGTTTAGTTAGCAAAACTATTTCCCCATGTTTATTCCTCCCCCCGCTGTTCCTCAGACGTTCTTGTCAACTGCTGGAAATGGCCCACCGTGATTATCACTACAAAAGGTTCTCCCCCTCCCCCACTCTCCTGCTGGTAATAGCTCACCTTACCTGATCACTTTCCTTACCGTGTGTATGGTAACACCCGTTGTTTCATGTTCTCTGTGTATATAAATCTCCCCACTGTATTTTCCACTGAATGCATCCGATGACGTGATCTATAGCTCACGAAAGCTTATGCTCAAATAAATTTGTTAGTCTCTAAGGTGCCACAAGTCCTCCTTTTCTTTATACAGGATTTTGTGTTACACCTTAGTCTGGGGGTGAGTATGGCTAATTGTAGTTAAGTTTGTTTTTTTCTAAAACGATGGCCTTTTAGCATGTCTGTAGTAGGAATAATGCAGACCGACAGCTGATACCTCTCAGTCCTGATCTGTTATCCCAGTACAGTGATCTGTCCTATGAGATGATGGCTATAACACCAGTGTCATGTGGTGGGAGTTTTGGGATGTGGGTATATATCTACTAAAAACTCCAATCGAAGCACTAAATTCAAATTCAGTTGTAGGCGAATAGTCTCTTTAGATACCACAATGATAGATGCATAATGGGGGAGAAGGGGAGGTTGAAAATAGAGCTGGTTAAAAAAAATGGTTTTCTTGCCTCACCAAAAAATCAACAAACTATATTTTCCCCATTTTCAAAATTTTCTATGCAAAATATGGACTTTTTGGTGAAATATAAAAAACTGAAATATTTTGGCTGAAAAAACCAAAATCTTTAGTTTTGGAGTGTTTTTTAAAAAATTAAATAGCTATATTTTCTGTGGAAAGCAGACCTGTCATAGTACAACCCCATCTGGGGTACTCTCCCATGGCAAGCTGCAGCATGACTGATGTGCCTGCCTCAGTTTCCCCTCTCAGGTAACCCTAGGACTCTACATCCGGCTCCCTTGCCTCAACACTACTGCTCTTTGGGTAGTTTATTGCTGGTTTATTGCAAAAACATTGTGCAAATGGTCCAGCACATAAGTCCCAACACATAGTCCATTTATTGTTTCAGTGCAAGTAATCATTAAAACCCCAAGACAGTTTGTCCCTTGTTGCCCCACATACCACTTGCCAATACCGTCTGCCACACCATGATTCTTTGTCAGTCCTCTTCTGTCCCTCTTCTGTCTGTCTTCTCTCCCTCCTTCTAGATGGAGTTGTGACCCTGTTCTCCAGTGTGGAACTCCAGAGCCTCTCTGCTGGGAGATCATCCTCACCAAGGGAGCATCCCTCACCCTCCTTGGCCTTCTCACTGTTCCTCTGGGTCCAGCTCTCTAGGGTGGAGATGTCAATGTGTAAGCCCCTCTGCTGCTCCCCTGTATTCAGCTCTCACCCGCCCTTGGTTTAAGCTCTCCATCTGAGAGAGAGCAGGCACCTTTCTCTGCCACTTCCTCCTGCCTTCAGTCTTCTCCCAGGATCCAGTGCTCTAAAGCAACCCCTCACTCACCAGGTCTACCTTTCCTCTAGGCCCAGGTGCCCTTTTCTAAATCTGATTGTGGTCAACTGACCAGGCGCAGGTGCACTGGCCCTGCTTCTTCTTAAAGAGCCAGTGTTACCCTGTGACAAGACCTTTTCATGAATAATTTTTTTGGTCAAAATCCCGATTTTCTGTCAACAAAAGGTTTTGAGGGAAAATTTTCAACCAGCCCTTGTTTAAAAGCATGCTTAAAAAAAATAAACCTTCCTAACTCAATGTATGTGTAGCATTACCTCTGTGATTCATCAAAGTAAATGTGATTTCAGAAGTGGATCCAAGTTACTGATTTTTGGAGGTGCTGGGAATTCACAAGTTCCATAAACTTCAACTAGAGTTGTAGATACTCATCTACTGTGAAATTGTGGTCCTTAAAATATTGAAATATGTGGGCAATCACGTCCCCATTTATAAAATGGGAAGAACGTTTCCTTTGTCTTGTTTACATAGATGACAAGCTTTTTGGGTACAGACTGTGTCTTACTATGTGTGTATACAATGCCTAGCATAGTGGAGCCCCAGCCTTGGTTGATGCCCGTAGCTGTTATGGTCATAGCAATCGTAATATTAGGGAAGGGGGTGAAAACTTTGTTCTCTTCTTTGAGTAACTTGATGTTCTTTATTTTAAGGGCATCCAGAGAAAGATGAGTACCTTAACAGCATGCATAACAACACATAATATTTGCCTGATTCTAATATTGGTTGGTATTAGGGAGTTTCAGACCCAAACACCCTAGGAATTTTTGAAGTGGTTGTGTACTGTGGGAGAAGTGGAGGAGATGGGTGGGGGCAGGGGAATGGAAGCCAGTTAAGTGTGTTCTCTTTTGTTGCTGTTGTCAATCATTAACTCCTCGTTAACCTTTTGGAGTTCAGAATTCATCCACTTTTTAAAATATTCCTACTCAGGAGCTCTCAGTGCAGGAAAGATTCATGGTTGATTGGGATGGGAATTAGTTTTCGTCTTGGAATGTGCCAATACAGTCATTCCACTGGGTGTGTTCAAGTGAAAGGGAATATATGCTAACAGAAGTGAAGTATATGCTAATGGAAAGTGAGTGAAATCAAGAAAGAATGGTTTATAATACATGAGTACATTCCATAGGGCATACAGCTTATCATTTACATTGTGGATGCCAGATCTCTTCAGCTTTGTTTTGTGGTTCTCTGATCCATAACACAAAACAAATGGTTACACTGATTAACATACAAGGTAGTCTCTTTCTCCTCAAATGGTGTGTATTTATGTATAGAAACAGGTCTATTTTTTGAACGGGTATTTGGTAAATTGGTTTCACGAAGACTTGCCAGTTGATTTCCCAGTAAAATAACAAGTAGGGTGCACTGACACAAAGTTAACTACAAATCACTAAACACTACATTTTGGGCCAATTTCTCTGCTGCTGTTCCTGCATTGAAGTCAAAGGAGTTTTGCCAACAGAGAATTTGGCCTGTTGTCTTTTGTTTGATGTTCAAAAATGCCTGATTACTCAGTGAGTCTTACAAGATTGGGAAAACGTTGTAGGGATAAATCAAGTTTAGACTGAAACCATCTCTTCTAGGAAATAATGTAGAATTAGGGTAATCAGTGGCTAATTTAATTTCTGAACAAGCTCTGGCACTGTGTTAATTGCTACAGTCCAAACTGGTGTAGCCCAGGTTGATGGCCTTATACCAGTAACAATTTTGGGTTTTGGGGGGTTCTATTCATCAGCTAATTCAGTTAAAAAGCACATTACTGCATGCACAGGGTTTTAAACTGGGAAGCTGGTGTCTGTTGCCAAGCGGAATAATCATTTTAAGTAGCTGAAATAGATTAGTGCATGTTGGCAATTTTCATTTGTGTATAAATTTATTTTTAATGTTGCGAGGCATTGTTGGATGTTGCAAACATTAAAAGAGCTTGACGATATCTGAACTAGGATTCTGGTGTCAAACAGTAGGTGGAAATTGATTTTATTCTCATCATTGATTAAAATTTTATTAGCAGCCTTTAAAGATAGTGGCAAGGCAGCTCTTCAGGGATGAACAACCTGAAGACTTGCCTTCCTGTTTCCATAGCAACACAGCATTTTCATCCTTTCAAGGAGACCTTGCTTGCATCATGTACTGCAAGGGTATTAGATTCAGAAGAGAACTGTGTTAACAGTTCAGTATCTCGCTCTTTGCCCTAAATTATGCGGCATGAAATGAAAACAAACTAAATTTAAACAAGAAAAAAAACTCTTCCTGTGAAAGATCAGTCTTGTTACTACATTTTCTTTTTAGATGTTAATTGCACTAGACGAAGAAAAATAGTTTGTCCTTTTAATTGTTGTGCTATTTTAGAGGCATAAAGTCGTGGCCACACTGCTGAAAAAGGGGAATATTTGAAAGCTGAGGTACTGTGTTTTTGAACGGACTGCTCAGTTGTAAAACTACTCCTTATGCAAATGACTTCATCAGTGAAATCACCCTCTTAACAGTAGTAGTTCCCAGTATAGTGGTCATTATTGATATATTTACAATTGCCATCAGTACTACATTAAGTGCAGGGAAGATGGGAAATATTGTAGTAATGAGGCAAAAGGCAAAATTGTAAATGGTGACCTTGGTTTGTGCTAGTTTTCTGATACTACGGACCTCAGCACTGGAAGTGTGCCCTGTTAGAGGTGGCATTCTCAGGCATAACATGAAGAATCTGAGAGTTTGGTACCCAGGATACGTACACCCATGTGAGACATTTCAGGTCACCCAGAGTTTGATGCATATTTATCACTGCTAATTTAACACTGTCCCACTACTGGATACGATGTCAGTGCTGACCAAGTGTTTTTGATTATCAAGGATATAAATTAATAGATTTGTCAATTTTAAAACCAGAAGGGATCATTGTGATCATCTGGTCTCACCTTATGCATAACACAGGCCACAGAACCTCACCACGACAGTTATGCATCAAACCCTTAACTTCTGTTTGAGTTATAGCATATCTTTTAGAAACACATTCAGTCCTGACTAAAAGACCACAAGTGTTGGAGAATCGCCCACATCCCTAGGTGAGTTGTTCCAATGCTTTTTTTGTCTCTCTCTTAAAAATGTGCCCCTTATTTCTGAATTTGTCTAGCTTCAGCTTCCAACCATTAGATCTCTGCATGACTCTAAATACCCAGATGTGCTTAAGTGTCATGCAAGCAGATTGCAGATTTCTATTTCAGTGCTGTGGTGATTTACATTCTGAATTAAAAAATGCTATTTTAATGTAAACATTTTACAGTAAACAACCACATAACAATGAGAGAAGTATTTAAGTGATGTGTACAGATGCAGGTCTGTACAATATTTTCAGTTCTGGCATTCAGAATGTTTTATTTTCTATTCCTCCATTTGTGTAAATTTTTCTGCAAAGGGTATTTGAAACATATCAAGGTCTATCAATAAAAAGCTAGAGCTTTCCCAGTAGCTGTTGCTATAGTTACACAGTGCAGCTCTTAGCATCATGCACAGTAAGTAAAGCACCTGCAATTCCTTAAAAACCCTTATTTGCAGGATAAGATAGAAAGAGACACTGCTGGCACATGGATGCAGCATTAACACCAGAATTCTTGGTTGCTTTGAGATTCTTGCTTCTTTATTCATCCAGTGGTCTGTGAAAATATCTTGTGGAGGGGGAGCAAAGGGGAAAAGTTCTGTCTCAAAAGGTGCCTGATACCTTCTGCTTCTGAGGGAAGTAGTCTCTGCAGTTGCCTAGAAATCAGAAGATAAAGATGAGCATGAAGATGAGCTTAGAAAAATTTTGGTTTAGAGCATATCCCAAGGAAGACTATAGTGACTGAAACACTGGTGTGTTTTGGTTTTAAATGATACCACATCATCGGTGCTGGCTTACTCCAAATATAACCCACCCTCTCCTCTTTCCAGTAAATGGCAGCCTTCCCTCTAGAAATGTACCACCAGAATGACAAGCCTCTGAAACAAATAATCTGATCATCTTTGCAATGGCCTTTTAATGCAGTGGTGGAGAATGATGTGCCTTTTCTGGTTGTGGAGTACAGTAGTTAAATATATCCTTAGGTATTTTAATAATACAAATGTTGAAATAAATATCTTTGGCACTTGGAATCAGCTTTTTAAAAGCGTAGCTCTGGTATGCATAAAAATTCCAAAACCTGAATTTTTCATCTTTTTTAAACTGGATCTTCTTAATTTAAAATTAAGAATATATAAACATAATTCTAGTTCTCATTTCTACTTGGTATTCTGTTTATATAGCATTTTAAAATTTTGAAACATTATAAAAGTAAGCCTTCGTTAACTGATGACTCCTAACCTGATCTTGGAGGATTTATAGTTTTGGGTAGAATAATGAGATTATAAAATTTAGCAATATGTTTCTGGTGATAGTTTAGTAATGCATTTGGTGGTAAATAGGTGAACAAACAAACAAACAGATGGTAGCATCCTAGGGGCTTTTTGCAATAAGAGCTAAACTGCATTGTCGTATCAAAACTATGGGGAAAGTCACTTATGCAAATGTGTTAACGATTGGAAACATAAGTATGGACAACCGTAGCCCTAAATTTGGTTTCCAAAAATACCAAATATAAATTAGGGGCTGAGACTTGACTGGATCAGATATTGTCCTCATTGTATGTGGGTGGAATGGGAAAAAGTCAACTCCATCCCTAGCTGGAACAATGGGACAATGACCTGGGACAACCAGAAAGGAAGCTTGGCCCACTGTGTTCCTCTTGGGGTGACCTCCACTTACATTTTCTTCTATTGTTGTTTCTAAAGTCTCCATAATGTTATAAGTATGAATAGTGTAAGAAGATAAGAAATGGC